ATAATACTTCAATATCTTCGATTCTTGGCTTTACCGAGTCATTTATTATCTATGAACTGCAATCAACGGTACATGCTGAATTACGAGAAGTGCAAGTAGAAGGCTTAATTAAACATCTACAAAATGATCACAATATGCGTTGGAAAGAAGTGTGTTGGTTCAAAACAAATTCCGAAATATTATATCTCAACCTGCGCAACTGATACATTACATTGATTGATGAATTTAAAGAATTAATCACGACTATTTTTCGAGTTCGCACCGGAGTCAAAATGTCATGCCGGACCTCGAGGGGTCAAAGTCAATAGATATATTGTTGGATCCATGATTGTGAGAAACGCTGTTTAGACTTTCGTTTCTTTCCGGCTTAATGATCTCAGGGTTACAAGGGCTGATGTGAAGTACACTTGACCTGGTGTATCTACATGACATGCATTTTGTTGGCAATGAAGTTTTTAGCACATTTGACTGTTATTCTGATATTTTTTTGTATTAATTAGGTTGTTAATGGAGAGTGCTCCAGTTTATATTAAACTGGAGCATTCCATTTAACAACCCTAAAAATAATTTTCAGTTTTCGAGCTTCAAAAAATCACATCTTCCGAAACTCAAAGCCATAAGCCGATATCTTTGTTGCGCGCAAAAAATAGCAAATCATTTAATGCATCAAACAAAAATTATTACAAGTTAGTTCGAATGGCCAAGCGCATCCAGAAATTTTTTGTTTCTAACAAACTCGGTTGGGTTTTGTAGAACCATATATAGAACGTGACATTATAAAATAATTCGGGAAAACTTTTTATTTCGCTCTACGATGAAATTTCGCAATATTGATTCATTTCCTCAGCTTAGTAATACAAAATATCAAAAGCTTTTTATGTTTTAAAATATACGCATTACCATGAACGAATTTTCGCATAAAATTATACCAGACCGACACTAAAAAAAAAGATAATGAAAAACCATTTTATTAATTATTAACAGCATGACATTGTTAAACTGACCAAGTTAAAACCATAAACTAAAAAAAAATACATTTATAAAAAAAGGGAAAATATGGACATGATAATAAATGATAATATAGATGATAAAAGGAAACAAAAAAGGGAAGAATGTTAAAGGGGATGGGGGAGGAAAGATCAATAAAATGTTCCAATAAAATATAAAAAGAAAAAGAAAATCAAATCTCACTAGACACAAAGTTTTAAAGAATGGCTACATGTGTGTCGTCGTTGTTTCAGAAAGATCAATGTTGATATTTAAAGGAATCAAAATTCGTCGATACACGTAAATGGTATTCCATTCTTTCGTGACAAATATTGTAATTATAAAGAACAATTATTTTCCTTCGACATCATTAACTCAATCATTTTTTTTTCAATAATAAATTTTTTTTGTAAATCCAACGTAACCTCCCTTTCACCAAATATCCATCATTAAAAGAGAACGCACACCATTCCGTCTTTTAATCCTTTACATTTTTGTCATTCGCATATTTCTACTAATACCCATACGAAAAAATATCCTCAAAATCCCAGAATCATTATCACTCGCTGCAGGAGTTCTAAAGTCAGGATCCCAAGAAATATTCGAACTTCCGGGTATAAAGGATCAAAAAATTTAAACGACGTGAAAAAGTTCAAGATGAAATAATAAATTAGGAAAAGGTGATTGTATATAAGGAGGATGGTGGATATTAAAGCAGTAGTAATATATCAATGGGAGTCGAATATATTGAGCTTTAGTCGGGTAATGTTGGTAAATTTGTTTGATTTTTGAATTTTTTTCGTGATTTTGTGAATAATGCGAGGAAGATGGGTTGTGAGATTATTACTTTGTGATAGCAATTATCGAATTGGTTGTGTAGAGAGCTTTTAAGTACAAGAGCTAAGATCGATATAGGATGCGTCATTGAACAATCGATCCAATGGTCTTCTTGAATAAGAAATAATATTGTTGTGTAGCTGAGCTCCTTAAAACTTGGCTTCGAATACTTCTATTATTAGAGATGTTTCTGGATCGACGAAGGATCGTTGTGAAAAAAATCTAGCAATTAGTTCTATCAACATTTTCTTATTCATATATGGATTTTTTTCGGAAAGTGTCTTATTTAAAAGCAAAGTTGATTAACAAGAAAAGGATGAATAGATAATGTGAAAATAATGGGGGAGGTGAGGGTTATAAAGTGGAGGGCGGGATAAAGTAAGGGAAAGAGGGAGCAAGAAAAATAATTACAAGATTCAATTAACGTGTACGATCGAAAAAACGCGAAAAATTAAAAATGGCGAAATGGAAATAAAGGATATGATGGATATGATAAAGTTTTAAGCGTAAAAAATATTGGATGTATCGATGAGGGCTATGTACAAAAATATAAAGGTAGGAGGCTACGAAAAAAATTGATGAAATTCGAAAAGTGTGAGTGGTTGAATTTTTTTGATTCCAGATTTTGCGACATATTTGTCCGCAATGTTTATAGAAAGGAGTGGGGGTGGGGGATGTTTGTATTCCTTCTTCCCGATTTCTTCAATATTCACACAACCACCACTTTCGTTTTTCCACTAGTCAACATAATCACGTTCCAAGAAATCTGATTTTTTTTGTATTCTCTTGTTAAGAAATTATTTGGTAACTCTTATATAAAAAAAATACAAAAAAATTCATTTTCTAAGGAACAGCGAGTAGGTTGCGTAAACTTTAGGGATGTAACGAAGTGGTGGCTAGGCGTCAATATTTAATCGGAAATAAAGGAAATCGGGAAGGAGGAGTACTCTGGGAGAAAGAATACGCAAAAAAAAATATGGAATCTGTTAATTTCTACAATTTTTTATATGCTAATGTAAATATTATAATAATAATAATAATAATAATAATAATCTTCATCATCATCATGAGGATGATTATGATGATAGGATAAAAATAAATGAAAAAATAATCATGAAACAAAAAAAAAGAAATATCACATATATCTATGAACAAACAAACAAATAATAATAATAATAATAATAATTAAAACAAAAAACATTATTATTATTTGTTTGTTTGTTCGCATTTGATGAAGATGATGATGATTATTACTACTATTATTATGCTATAAAAGCAAATAAATAACAAATGTTGAAATCTGTATTTAATATTTAGGTATACTAATTTAATGAGGTGATAAAAATAGGGTTTTGCTCAAATTAACGCTATGAACATATATAAAAAATTCAATTACCCAAATGTAAAATTACACGTAAACAAAAGAAACGACGACACATAAAACCATGTATATGCTAGTTTTTATATGTAGTTTTGTAATTTTCGCATTCGGTACTGGAACTTAGTAAAATCAGTATAATCGAATTTTTAAAAAAAATGCAAAAAATGCTTTAATAAGTGGAAAAAACATTTGATGTGTAACGTGACTAGTCTAATGGATAAAGTAAAATAAAAAAGATAATTTTGTAAAAAAAAAAAGGAGAAGCAAATCTGAATTATAAGCTTCCAATTTGTTAACGAGTACGGAACCTATTATTTTGTGTAAACATTATAATTTAGCCGCGTAGCGGGGATAATTCGTCATGTTATTACTATTTACCTTAAAATAAAGTAAAGCGACGTTGGAATATATTATTGAGAATTTGGTTTTGCGTAAATCATCATTGGAGTGGGAGAAGAACAACCATTATCATTTATTGACCTATTTCCTTCAATTTGCACCTTTGTATCCATTTCCTGCGGATTTAAGATACCGCACAATTTCTGCACATTTCTCGTATCATTGCTAGTAAGATCTGATGATTCTCGAGGTGTAGTAGGCGTACTTTGGTCTGGCGTAATCAAGAAAACACCAGCAAACTTGCCACCATGATTTTGTTGACATTCCATAGTCATTGGGTTCATAGTTCGCAATTTTTCTCGGAATCGTTCAACTTCTCGCTGATTTTCAATTTGTCTGAACGCGTTCGCGTTTTCCATCGATGATCCGGAAATAGCCTGAATATGCGTCAATAAGAGACTGCTCCATCGTTTAAAAATATCTTCACTAATGAACAGGTTATAGTCGATCAATTTCAAAAAGACAATTTCATTTTGATTAATCTCTTTTACGGGGAGCCCAGAAATTTTTGACCAAGCTTTATTAGAATAGTTTCGATCTTGAAGATATTTTGACGCGACAATCAACGCTGCTAGAAACATGCGACGACCGCATGTAGCCGGGTCATTGTTATCTCTTTTGAGGGCAGGAGATTTGGGGTTAGGCGTTTGATCTGGACTACTACTACTACTACTCCTACTACTACTACTAGTAGTAGTGTTGGATCCACTAGATGGAAGTTGAAAAGCACGCGACGTGATTTGTGTTTTGATGCGGTAAAGATAAAACAGTGCTGTTTGAAGAGTCGAATAGGAGGTCCTGGATCGTCGAAGCGTTTCTTGAAGAAAAACTCGAAGCGGGATGATTTTTGCAACAGGATTGATGTGAAAATGAGACCAAATCACTTCAATGATAAGTGCAGCCGTGTCTGATTGGATAACGATTCGTTACGTTAGGTAAATGATGACATTCGTTTGTAAAAACAATAAACAACACAAACTGTTATATACAATATTTGTATACCTCTACTCACCCACAAGGTTTTCAACAAACGCAGCTTTTCTGCTTTTTTCGCTAATCAATGTGGGAATTATATTAAGAATTGAAAAATCGTTCTCATTTCCATTACGTTCCCCTTTGAAATTTTTGCCTTCATTACCATTTCCGTTGCCGTTTCCATTGAGATTTCCGTTGCAGTTTCCGTTAACTCTTTGATTATTTTC